GCCAGCACCATTTGAGGTCTCATATTCCATCCCCAACTGAAACTTGTGGTGTTGGAAATCGTGGTGGTGGTGTTTCTTTGCCTCACCATACTGAAGCGGCACCACGCTATCGGCATCACTACCGCCATAACTCCGCCGTGGCACCGTGTCACATCTCTGCTGGATTTTATGAGTAACAATAGCATCAGTCATATATTGATCATCAAATAGCAAATCATTGCATTTATGATCATCACTGAACTGAGTTTCTTGACAAGAATTGTACTCAACAAGATCCAAATACTCATCCCCATTAAACAAAAACCCATTGGTGTTACTGTTACTGTTACCATATTGGTTTTGGTTTTTACTGTTCTTGGCAGGATCATCATCGAATAATAGCCACGAAGCTGCTTCATTTTCATCCTGATCATCTATGGTGCATTCTGATTCTTGGGATAAAAACCCACCTTGAGAGTCGATTCCTACGCCAAGTATAGACCTTGGGTGGTCAGTTTCTTGATGTCCATATGGAATCGGCATCACTGGGACGCGATGGTGGCGGCGGGCAAGAGGGTTTGCGGAATGGATAACGGCATCACAGGTGGCACAGAGCGAGGCTGCATCCGCCTTGCATAGGAAGGCGGCCGGAGCTTGTTCACATGCTTCACACATCCAAACACCACCTCTTGTGGTACTACCTTTTAAGCATAAGGTACTCCTATCTTCCTTTAACATATTTTTCTCTTTCTTAGTTTCTTTTGTGGTTATGCTTTCCCTATGGTGTTTTGAGTCTGAGTACCCTTTTGTTGGCACAGTAAACAGGGGGTTGGGGGTGAGAGTAGTGCACCAAGCAAGTGGGAGGGGGAAGAGTGTGGATAAACCAGGGACTGACACGTGGAAATGAATTAGTGGGTGGATTGGAGGGTGGGGGGTCATGGAATCAATTAAAACTTGGCTTTTTAGAATGGATTTGTAAAGCTTGGTGTATATGTGATTGAAAAGTATGGAGTGGTTGAAATCAAGGTGTCTGCTGACTCAAACTGTTGCCCACCTGGATTGCTAAGAGGGAAGGAGTTTATAGCCATGTATCCCATATTAGATGGCCTTGTGAGGCACATGATGGATCCCTAGGGTGGACTTGAACCTATCTTCCGTGGATCGGGTTGACAGGGTTGAAGACATTTGAACAATTCAATACAATGTTTGTGGTTTGAAAAATGTCAACCCAACCCAAACCGTAATGGTTGGTCAGGTTGATACTTTGGTACATCAAAATATTCTCGTAATCTTGAATATGTTGTTTTCTTTACTCATAATTCTATTTTCATCATCAATCATTTGGTACAGTTTATCCATACTCCTTCAAAATGTTCTCCTTTTCAGTTGCTATACCAAACCAAACCAACCCGGTGTTTCGACACGAAATAGGGTACGAGGAGAGTAGGATGTGCGTTAACCTTACCTCTATCCCAGGGGGTAGAGTTGTTTAAGATAATCCCACACTAAAGCTGTTTGTGTAGGTTAATCTGTCTATATGGATTAAGAAAGCTTTATTTGTGAGGGTTTTTTCATAGATGGAAGAATCGTAATTTTTTATCTGGAGGGGCAGGTTTGGAAAAAAAACTTGGCCATCTGCATAAAACTCACCATATAAGCTTACTAAATAAGTCACTTTTTATATTATCAAACCACTACCAAATATTCATATACAGCTGACTGGATAAGCTGTGAGCCATATTAAGCATATTAAGCTGCTAACAATCATTCCCTAATCCTTTTCGGTTACTGATTATGGTAAATTCTACCAATAATACTTTCATAGGAGCAAGTTTAAATGAGAATGACAAAAAAGATTGACAATGTGGTAATGACAAAAACAGATGAAAAAAAAAAAATATAACAATATGAATATCAAATTAAAGAGAATAAAATGCTCCTTTTTTCGTATAATTTGTTTACCTTCAATTTTGGCTATATTTAGCCTATTTTTGACCAAAAAATAGAGGGGGAATCTTTTTGTTTTAAAAAAAAGTTAGTTACAGATTTTTAATCACTCAACTAAATCAACTGATATTTGAGATTTATTCTCACATATTCAGCCTTTTTGTCATTCTCGTTTGAATCTTCTTGTATTTTCATAACTTTGTATCTAATTGGAATATTACAATCCTGTTTCCGTCCCTTTTCTTCTCATGGTAGGGCAATTGATGTTTATTGTCGTAAGTGAAGCTTTTTTGGGCACATATTTACCTTGTAGGAGTGTTTGTGACGTTAGCCATTATAAGCTGGTTATCATGTTGACAAGACACTTTTCCGGATCAGAAACAAATTTGTATCTCTAAGAACGAGTTTTGTCGAACGTTGATCCCTTTCAAAGCATTAAGGTTGTTAAGATTCTACCAATTACTTAAGGGCTTGGTTTTTCATTAAGTCGTATATAGATAAATCTGCATGTGTAGATTAATCTGTTTGTATAGATTGAGAAGGTTTTTGTTTTTGTTAGAGTTTTTCCATAGGTGGAAGGAACATGTTTACTTAGCTTTCTACGTAAAGTTTCCCCTAAAAGTTTACTGCATAAGCTATTTCCTATATCATTAACCAACTACTAAACATGTATAGTTGATTGAATAAATTGTGAGTCTTATTAAGACTACTAAACCGTATGCCCTTTTTTTAAGCACAAAAAAACATGTTTTTTGGAACCTAATTTAATGGGAGGGGTGCTTAAAAACCCGAACAATCGCCAAACAATCCAACCCAACGGGAAATAACGCAATTTGAAGCAATCCAATTTCTAATCGAGTTGTAAAAATTTCAAACCTTATGTATTGGGTTGGAACCAGGTTACGGTCATTTGAATTCAACCCGACCTGATAAACCCGATATTCTTTTATTTCTTGGATTTGATATAATTGTTAAATCCTTGTTAATATGTACATCAGACAATTACGTCATCACATACCATCTTCATATACATATGTTTTCAATCTGTATTCTGTAAATGTGAACATATATGCAAATTGAGAAAATTTATTGAATGTAATATACTTAAGATTTAAGTAGTATGTATAAACTATACCGGATGATTGATGATGAAAAATGAATTATTAGTAGATAAAACAACATATTCAAGATTAGAAAAATATTTTGATGTATCAAAATATCAACCCGACCAACTTGTATGGTTTGGGTTGCTGTGGATTGATATTTTTCAAACCGCAAACATTAGATTGAGTTGTTCAAATGACTTCAACCAGATTCATTCAACTCATGAGCATCCCTATCTAATAGGGTTTTACATTTCATCTTAATGACTATTTTTCACGTTCTTCGAAAAAGCTAAAAAACACTACACTTAATGTAAAATACGTAAAACCCCATCAAATACTCGTTTGAAAAATGCAAAATAGTTTTATAAATGGATGGGACAATTGGAGGATGGAGACCATGAGAGGTCAACATTGTTGTTTTAATTTCGACCCATAAAAAAACCCAATCATGTCGGCACCAAGATGACATCTGTAAACAGTTCCCGGTTGGTGGGTCCATTGCCCACGTGAACCATCAGGCTCGGTCTTTCTCGTGTCAAAAGGGTTGGGGTTGGGTTGGGTTAGGTTAGGTTAGGTGTTTAACCATGGCAGTGGGGCCAGTCCTTTTGGGTGACCTTCATACGTGGCAGATAGTTTGTGGCTGTGGTGGGACCCATCTTGAGTCAGCTTGCGATGAAGATGACTTCGTCGCCGACCACATCGTTCTCAAAAGCCGCCCGCGTTTATCCCATGGATGCTTCTCGTTTGTCTTATGGAATTTTCACTAAACCCCCATGTACTTTATCTATCTACTCCTTTTACACCTTATTTTTCAAATTATTTTACATACCCGATAAATAGCCGGTTCAATTAGAGATGGCATTTGGATGTGGTTCCGAAGGACGGGATTAGATAAAAACCGGTATACAACGTCATTGGTCTGACTAGGTTAGAGTTAGATCCCAGTTCTTTTCATGCACAAGGTTAGATCAAATAAAAACTGGTTTTATTAACTTTTTCCCTTTTAAATGAACTGTACTAAGAAGATCATGCTAACCAGACTTGATTGACTTTTCTTTGGAGCAGTTGAAACTAGCCCAACCAACTGCACGGGAATTTTTCGTACCCTGGTGACAATGTTTCAATCCTAACGGATTTGTTTACTGGTGCGTGTAACTCTAGACTGGATGGGTATGTAGGTGCATATCCATAATCTCTATTGTTGTACCATGACAATTTGCTTACATGGTAACATGAATATATTGAGTTTGTTATAGTTTACTTGTGTTAGTGCTGAGTTTTTTTAACCGATTATCTTAAATATTAGCGAAATGATATGATACAACCATTTAAGAGTTCTAAAAAATTTGTGAGATCCGTAAGAACTTCTATCTTAAGTTTTTGCTTCATATGATCTTTTTTCCATCTAAATATAGTATTCAATCTATCGATTAACATATATTTGTTTCTTATTTATTCCGTTCACAATGTTTCTCTTTTACGTGTACTTTTTGTTTCAAAAACACATCAAAGAAGTTCACATTGCGAAATCGAATACGTGTGAACCAAACACATTGTGAAACAAATACATGTTAATGACTACATTAAGTTCAAGCCATAGATGGAAAAAAAAATCATATGATACACTGGTTCTCAAATATCTCACAATTTACAGAGTTCTAAAAACGGTCCCTTTAAAAGCATAAGATAGATATATAGAGGGACTTAAATTTCATATATGTTAAAAGTATGAGGAGTCCAGTTGCAATTTTAATTTTTGCTCATTACAAATTTACAATCAGTCGTGTTCGGCCTTGTATGGATTTTGGGCCGTTTTAAATATGGGCTTAAGAAGGCCGAGTCTGACTCGCTCGATTTTTGGGCTTCAAAAATTGTGGTTTATCCTAAATTGATCCACGAACCAAATCAAAAAATTGAGGTTTTTTTAGCAGCATTTAAAATATTTTTAGTAAATAGTTTCTTACAAAAAAAATTTGCGTGAATCACAATTAATTTTAGAGTGAATTATACTTTTGGTCTTGTAGTTTGTTTCTCTTAATGGTTACTAACTGATGACGTTAACTTCATGGACCTTGAGTGTTAGGAAATTGAAAAGTTAAGGGTCATCAATGTGCAGGGACGGACCCAGAAATTTTTTCAAACGATGGCACCATATAATTAATATAATATAATATACATCTATAAAAAATTACAAAAAATATGGTTTTTATAGTACCGATAAACAACTCTTAAATTTGTACCCGACGCGTCTTCATTTTTTTCTCAAAAATAATTACAAAAAGTATGGTTTTTATAGAATTGAGAAACAACTCCTAAATTTGTCCTCGGCGTGTCTTCATCTTTTGAAAACAATCGATGACATCTTCGTTTTTAACATTACTAAGGGCTTCCTTTTCTATGGCACAAATGAAGGCAAAATTCAAAAAATCATCACCAATTTGATTACGTAAATCTGTCTTGACAAGTTTCATCGCCGAAAAACATCTTTCAACCGTAACAGTTGCAACAGGCAAAACCAATGTTAGTTTCAATAACCGGTAGACTAAAGGATGAGAAAGATGTTTTCTTGTTGCCACCATTAATCTGGCGAGGTCGGTAATACCGGCTTGTCGCTCATCGCACCAGATCTCTCGTCGTCACTCACTCTCACCAGGTCCCGTCCGTATACGCGTTTAGGCCTTAGGGCTTTAAGCCTTAAGGCTGTTGCAGTTGGCAGTTGGCATTTGGGATTATTTGATTAATCTATTTTTTGGGCTTTACAGTTTGCAAATTGGAGACGTCAATTGGGCTTTGCATTTTATTTGGGCTTTGTTTTAGTTGGGTTTTAGTTGTACTATTTGAATTTCGGGGAAATACGATAACACTGTTAACAAACCTAAATTTTTTACCCTTCGGTGACGAAAAAATACGGTGGCACGTGCCACCCATGCCACCACACCAGGTCCGCCTATGTCAGTATGGATAGTTTGTTTTAGAAACCAAATCCAAAATTTAAACAAAACACAGGTGTTACAAGTGTAATTTACTCTTTAAAAATATGAATAACAAACCACCTTGTTTTTCTGTTGGAATAGAAAAAGAAATTGTAGTTTTTCTGTTTGATATTTAGAGTCCAATTCGAACCAATTGAACATTTTTTTTTCAATAATGCATCCAGTATTTTACCTAGTATTAATTTTATTTTATTTATTAATTATATTATATATATATATATATATATATATATTATTCAATAGATTTAGAAAGTCAAAAATCAAATACACCACTTTTT